ACCGCTCTCACCTTAACAATGGGTATGCCGGCAATTGGCCCTGGTGTCTTTCAGGCGTTCTTTTCACCAGACTACCAGCACAGATCCCCTGTAGTCAGGTCCCAGGACTGCAGTAATTGTGCACCAGGACCTGCTGTGGGAGCTATGGAGGCAGCTCAGATTCTGGCCCGGTCCAGTCCCCATGTGTATGTGCCCACAAACCCACAGTTGCTAAAGCTAGACCCATCTCAGCTGGGGGAGCACTCATTCATTTGGATATTCTGCAGGTGCTGAGTTTGCAAAGCCGGCAGCTGGGGTGTAAATCCGCAGTTCCCACAGCTGTGAGGAGAGATTTCAGCTCTTCTTCCTTAGTTGCATGGCCCATGAGGCTCAGCTGTGGTTTCAGCCCCACCTCTGCATGTGGGCCTTCCACCAGTGTCTGTTCCCGAGGCTGTCCCAGAGCCTGCCCAGGTGGGTGGGGTCAGAGGCGGCAACAGGCGGGACAAATGCCAGCCTGCTGGGGTGGGCAGGGGTGAAGGAGGCAGCCGCAGTGGGTGGGGCATGTGAGCCTGCTTGGGCTGTGGGTGTGGAGGAGGGGGCGGGGGTGAGTGAGCCTGCTCTTGCAGGCGGTGGCCAAGGAGGGTGAGGCCTGCAAACCTGCTCAGGCAGGAGCCCCTTCTAGTGCCCAGGGAGGCAGGGGCTGGTGCGTGGGGAAGGGGGCTGCAATGGCGGCCTGGGCTTCTTCCACAAACACTCCCGCTTGTAGAGCTCTGTACTCCCAAACCTTCAGGCTCTCTCTTTGCAGCTAACAGCAGTCCCCTCCCTGGGTCTGCTCTCCAAACCCCAGGTTCTAGCACCCAGCCTCTGTCTGCACCAGCAGACACATGTCTCAGGCTGGGACATGCAGGGCTGTGGCACCAACCATTCATGTAGGCCTTACTCTGTCCTGCCTGCCACAGACTGGTCGCTGTGCTCTCCTCTGAGCCCCTGAAGCTCCCCTTCTGTCCTAGCTGACCTCCCTACTAGCGAGGGGGCTTCCCTGGGTGTGGGAACCTCTCCTCTTTCAGTTCCCCCCCAGGGGTGCAGGTCGTGTCCTGTTTCCTCTTGTCTTTTGAAAATTTCTTTTGTCCTACCCAGTTGCATGGGGATTGTTCTTGTCCCTTTAGGTGTCTGAGGTCCTCTGCTAGTGTTCAGCAGGTGCTCTGTGCAAATTGTTCCACTTGTAGGTGTATTTTTGATGTACTTGTGGGGTGTGGTGAACCCCAGGTCCTCCTATTCTACCATCTTGACCTTGAGCCCCCACCCTATGTTTTTTGATCGTTGCTTTTACTCCATTGATATTGAAAGTGGTTATTGATAGCAGTGTACTTACTGCCATTTTACTTGTTTTCTATGGAGGTTTTTTTTGGTAGTTCTTTTCTGTTCTTTTCTTCTTCTTTTAGTTTCTTCCCTTGCGGTTTGATGATTGTCTTTAGTGGTATGCTTGTGCTCCTTTCTCTCTAGTTTTTGTGTATCTATTGTAGAGTTTTTATTTGTGGTTATCACAGGGTTCTTATATATTGATCTATAATATTTCTACATGTTCTAAGCTGAGAGTCACTTAAATTCAAACACATTCTAAAAGGTAAACATTTTAGATTCCCACATTTTGTGTTTTTGATGTCATATTTTACATCTTCATATTTATCCCTTCATTGTTTATTGTAGTTATAGTTTATTTTACATATTTTATCTTTTAATATTCATACTTGTTTTGTCTTTAAGTATACATATTTAAGTGGTTGATCCTCAGCCTTTACTATATATTTGCCTCTAGTGGTGGGATTTTTTCCTTTCCTATAGATTCTTGTTGCAGCCTTTTCTTTTCCACTTAGTGAAAGTCCATTAGCATTTCTTTTATGTTCAGTTTTGTATTGATGAACTCTTTTAGTTTTTGCTTGTCTCTTTATCTTTCCTTCAGTTCTAAATGACAGTCTTGCTGTGTAGAGTATTGTAGGTTGTAGGTATTTCCCTTTCAGCATTTTATGTGAATCATGCCACTCCCTTCAGGCCTACAAATTTTCTGCAGAAAAATCAGCTGATAGCCTTGTTGCGGTTCCCTTGTATGTGACTTTTTGTTTTTCTCTTGCCACCTTTAAGATTCTCTTGATCTTTAATTTTTACCATTTTAATGTCTTGATGTGGGTCTTTTGGGGTTCTTCAGCAGGTGCTCTGTCAGAATTGTTCCATTCTTGATGTACTTATGGGGAGAGGTGAACTCCATGTCCTCCTATTCTGCCATCTTGACTCCTCCCCCACTCCTATCTCAGTTTTTGTTTTCTTTTTTAATAGAGGAGCTAAAATTGTTTGATGTTCTTTACTGCCAAAAACAGAAGAGTAGGGCTAGGAAGAGAAGGAGGTATCCGTTTGAGGGGAGGGCAGCGTTCATGCAGAGGTCACATTCCTTTCACTCATGTTCCCATGGGTTTGCGGACATGCAGTGGATTTCCTTCGCTAAAGGCAAGAAAGGGCACCCCGTGAAGTGTTTATAAGATTTATGCTGTTCCAGGAAGGAAAGGCTAACATCTCCCTCCCAAGTGGATGTCCACTAGGTCATGGAGTTTGCTGACTTGCCCTGGGGAGAGAAGATGAGAATGTCAGGCAGGGAGAAAGAAAGAAAGGAGGCAAGGACTAGCCCTAGTAAGTTCCACCTGAGGGGTAGGAAAGATGGATGCTGCTCATGTCTGCAAGCCTCACATCTGAAGCTGCTGAGGACAGATGAGAAAGGGTGACTATGTGCTTGTGAGGAGGGATTGACGCAGCTGGGGCAAAGTGGGTGAGTGCATCAGAGGACTACAGTGTGCTACTGCCAGGGGGTTTTGTGGAAAAGATCGCTGATGCTCCCAGGGGACCACGTGCTGGGGGAGTTGCTTGAGTTTCTTAGCATTGGTGCGTGTTTGGTTCTCTACCCATCCAGGCTGCATCACCCGTGATAGCCAACAGAAAGGAGGACTGCCACCGGAGAATGTGAGGAATGTCATTTCCCATTTTTTTTTTTTAAACAACTTCATTTCTACCAGAGAAGAAATCTAAGAGAAAGGAAGATCTAGAGGGCGGTATGAGAGAGAGAGCAGATCACTCCTCTATCAACTCCAGAGCACTTTGGCGGACCCCAAGTCTTAATTATGTTGGAAAGAGAGACAGAGGTTTGACTGAAAACACAAGATTTTAAAATAGACTAAATAGAGATTTTAACTGAAATGCCATTAAGGAAGTCTACTTGTCATTGAGAAATAGGGTTGAACAAAGCATAGTTGGTAACAGATATTGGAAAAATAGTGATTTAATTTTTAAACGGTAACCAATTAAGTTTTCTCAATTAAATCAGTTGTGATCATAAAGCAAGTGGATGGAAACATTAACTCCTTCTCAGCCCCTTCAGCTTCTATCTGATTGGGGAATTTAGAAATACAAAATACTAAGTCCTCTACACGTAAGCCCGGCCAGCCAACATCACCACTCTCATTTCCTGCCTTGCACACCTTGCGCCAAATCACTCAGTGGCCTTTTGACATCCGAAATCTGCTTAGATGTTCATGTTTTTGCATGTGCTCTTTCTCCTGCAGGGAGTACCCTTCCTTCCAATATCTGTCAGTCAGGCAAATATCCACAGATGCTTCAGTTCTCAGCTCGAGAGTTATATCTTCTCTGAAACCATCCTGACCTGTTCCCCCCTCCCTCTTTGATACCCATTCTCGGTCAGATATCCTTTCTGGATCCTTCATTAATCCCTCATATGTATTTCCTGTGTGATGCTTACACTGTTATGTGCAGGTGTGTGTTTATATTTCTGCCACTCTCAATAGATAATGAGTCCTCTGAAGGAAAAGATCTTATTTGACTTGTTCAGTGTAGTACCTCGCATGGTGCTTGGCATATATCTAACATAAGCTTCATAGATATTTGCTAACAGAAAGAAAAAAAGGGGTAACGTGGGGAGGGAGGGAGGAAAGAATTTATGCTCAAAGTGACAAGGGTGCTCGGTTTGGTTTAAGAGAAGGCTCCATATTATTCTTATCGTCTTACCCTTCCAGGGAGATGGCCCGTTGGAGAGTCACTGAAGGCTGGCGGGTTGTAGTGCTGTGTTGGGAATGACTGCAAGAAAAGAAAGAAAAAACAAACACAATCATTTATTTAAAATATCTTTGCACATTCTAATAGTCTTATTGTCATGAAAAGAATCAATCTTGGAGAGGTTAAATGGCTGTTCTTTGGTGATAAGCAGAATCATCCACCACAGTGTAACACTCTACCAGATAAGGGGCTAATATTTTGTTATAATTTGATTTCAACATGTATTATTCAAAAGTAAACTTTAAATGAAGGGTAGCCATGAAAAGAAATAAATATATTTGGAAGAGGTAATTATTTTCCCCTTGGAATAAGGTAACATAAAAACAAATTTCACTATGATGCAATATATTATTTTTTTAATGCACAATATTTTTTCCTAACAAAATTTTAAACAGCAAATTTGAAAATTGGAGTAGTATTTAATTAGTATAAATTTATTAGTTTATATTTGCAATACTTGTAAAAATAATAATTCAACTGTTGAATGAACACAAAAACTTGAAAAATGGGATTTCCAGTTGCATATCAACATTAGTTAGAATTTAAGGTAATTCCATATTTATTCTGGCTGCATGATAAGGTAAGACTGATTTTATAGATAAGTATTTGCACTAAAATTATATTGTATCTTTGCACTAGAAATTATATGGTATATATAGTAGTATCTAATACTTATTGAGTACTTATTGCCTGAGTTACTTTTCTAAGTATATTTTTACATCCTTTACTTCTTACAACTCTATGAGGTATGTACTGTCCCATTTGACAGATGAGGAAATTAAGGTAAGGAAGGTTTAAAACTTGCCCAAATTCACGTGGTAAATACCTGTGCTCGAAGTGGTATCTAGACGTGCCATTCTTCTTAACCATCATATCACCTTCTAAATGGTAACAGTTTTTTTGGCTTTGAAAGAATTTGTCTTGCAATCTTAGAATACTCTTCAATTAGAGATAGAGGGAGACTCTTTCATCTGAGATATGCACAATGACAATCCAAGAGCATATTGTAATGAATTGTGAGTTTCCTATGTATTAAAGTACACAATAAAATGTATTTCAGTGTGTAATTTTAGTTTGTAGTATTAGTTTAAAAACTTATTTGTAACATTAGTTACATATACATGTAGTGTGTGAAGGTGTGTATATACAAATATATGTATAGAGAGAAACTTGAGTAAAATATTTGCAGAACATGAGGCAACTTCACTCAGTTCTAAGACTTCTCAGCACATACTTTGAAAACACTGACATTGCCATAAAGCGCCAAGCAAATAGGCTGCAGATTTTCATTCAGAACTTTTGTTATTATGGGTGAGAGGAGGTGTTTCTCTGTGACTAGCATTTAGCTGTGACATGGATGACATTTATCTGAGGTTGAGAGATCAGAATTTGGGGACTATGGCTAAGGCCTAGAGAATGGTCGTCTTCTTCAAATTAAGGATTGTACCCTTGGTTTCCTGGCATCCCTCATAGTGCCGAGCATCACTTATGTCCACTAAGCATGCTTTGATTGGCCAACTGAAAGGCAGTATAGCATTGAGGAGCTGGACCATGTAGCCAGGCTGCCTGAGTTCAAATTTCAGCTCTGCCACATAGACCAATGTGACCTTGATTGAGTTTCTTAAAGTCCTCTGTAACAGTACCTTCCTCATAGGGTAGTTATTCAATGAATACAGTGTTTAGAACAGCGTCTGTCTGTCTTACATGGTAAAAGCTACATAAGTGTTAAATAAACTGATATGATTTAGCAGAGTGTGCACTTTGAGATCTTTCTTTAGTACTAAATAAGCATAATTAATTATTTAGGTCACTTCAATTAGTCATATAGTCAGTGCCACAAGGTGTGGATTTGTGAGTATATTATAACTTTGGTGGTCAATATCAAATTATTAAAATGTTTTCTGTTGTAAAAGCAACATTATAAAATTAATAGAAATCAGCCACAGCACTCAGACAAGAAAAAAGAAATAAAATGTATCCAGATTGGAAGGGAAGAGGAAAAATTGACATTATATGCAGATGACATGGTACTATACAGAGAAAATCCTAAAGGCACCACCAGAAAACTACTAGAGCTCATCAATGAATTTGGTAAAGTTGCAGGATACAAAATTAATATACAGAAATCTGTTGCATTTCTTTACACTAGCAATGAAATATCAGAAAGGGAAAGTAAAGGAAAAAAATCCTCTTTAAAATTGCCTAAAAAAATACTTAGGAATAAACCTGACCAAGGAGATGAGACATATGCTGAGAGAGAACTATAAAACACTGATAAAGGAAACTGAAGATGAGGCAAAGAAATGGAAAGATAACCCATGCCCTTGGATTGGAAGAATTCATATTGTTTAAATGACCATACTATCTGAAGCAATCTAATCTACAGATTTAATGTGATCCCTATCAAATTACCCAGGACATTTTCCACAGAACTTGAACAAATAACTCTAAAATTTATATAGAACCACAGAAGACCCAGAATTGCCAAAGCAATCCTGAGGAAAAAGAAAAAAGCTGGAGGTATAAGCCTCCCAGACTTCAGACAATACTACAAAGTTAGTTACAGTAATAAAAACAGTATGGTGCTGGCCCCAAAACAGACATATGGATCAATGGAACAGGACAGAAAACCCAGAAATTAACCCAAGCACTTATGGTCAAAATTAATCTACAACAAGAAGGCAAGAATATACAATGGAGAAAAGACAGTCTCTTCAATAAGTGGTGCTGGGTGAACTGGACAGCTACATGTAAAAAAAAAGCAATTAGAACACTCTCTTACAAACACCATACACAAAAATAAACCCCAAACGGATCAAAGGCTGGATCTGTAAAACTCCTAGAAGAGAACACACGCAAAACCTTCTCTGACATAAATTGTAGCTATGTTTTCTTAGGTCAGTTTCCCAAAGCAATATAAATAAAAGCAAAAATAAACAAATGGGACCCAGTCAAACTTACAAGCTTTTGCATAGCAAAGGAAACAAAATGAAAAGACAACCTATGGAATGGGAGAATATATTTGCAAATGATGCAACCGACAAGGGATTAATCTCCAAAATATACAATTATGCAGCTCAATAGCAAAAAAAAAAAGAGACCCAATCAGAAAATGGGCAGGAGACCTAAATAGACTTTTCTCCAAAGAAGACACATAGACGGCCAACAGGCACATAAAAAGTTGCTCAACATGGCTAATTACTAGAGAGAGAAATGCAAATTAAAACTACAGTGAGGTATCATCTCATGCTGGTCAGAATGGCTATCAATCATTAAAAAGTCTACAAATAACAAATGCTGGAGAGGGTGTGGAGAAAAGGAAACACTCCTATACTATTGGTAAGAATGTAAACTGGTGCAGCCATTATGGAAAACAGTATGGAGGCTCCTCAAAAACTAAAATCTAAAAATAGAGTTGGCATATGATACAGCAGTCCCACTCCTGGTCATATACCTGGAAAAGACGAAAACTGTAACTTGAAAAGATACATGTACCCCAGTGTTTATAGCAGCACTATTCACAACAGCCAAGACATGGAAGCAACCAATGTCCAAAGGCAGATGAATGGATAAAGATGTGGTGTATATATACACACGTATATATATATATATACACACACACACACATACACACACACAACACTGGAATATTAATCATAAAAATAATGAAATAATTCCATTTTCAGCAACATGGATGGACAGAGATTATCATACTAGTGAAGTAAATCAGACAGACAGACAAATAATAGATATCACTTAGATGTGGAATCTAAAATGATACAAATGGACTTATTTACAAAACAGAAATAGATTAACAAAGAACAGACTGGTGGTTGCCGAGGGGGAGGGGGCTGGGGGAGGGATGGATTGGGAGTTTGGGGTTAGCAGATGCAAACTATTATATATAGAATGGATAAACAACAAGGTCCTACTGTATTATTCAATATCCTGTGATAAACCATATGGAAAAGAATATAAAAAATGTATATATGTATAACTGAATCACTTTGCTGTACAGCAGAAATTAACACAACATTGTAAATCAACTATACTTCAGTAAAAAAAAAATTCTCTGACATAAATCGTAGCAATGTTTTCTTAGGTCACTCCCCACAGGCAATAGAAATAAAAGCAAAAACAAACAAATGGGACCTAATCAAATTTACAAGCTTTTACATAGCAAAGGAAACAAAAAGACAACCTAGGGAACAGGAGAAAATATTGCAAATGATGTGACCGACAAGGGTTAATTCCCAAAATATACAAACAGCTCATAAAACTCAATAACAAAAAAACCAAACAACCCATCAAAAAATGAGCAGAAGACTTAAATAGACATCTCCAAAGAAGACACATATTGGGTTGGCTAACAGGCACATGAAAAGATGCTCAACATCACTAATTATTACAGAAATGCAAATCAAAACTACAATGAGGTATCATCTCACACCAGTCAGAATGACCATCATCAAAAAGTCTACTAATAATAAATGCTGGAAAGGGTGTGGGGAAAAAGGAACCCTCCTACACTGTTGGTGAGAATGTAAACTGGTGCAGCCCCTATGGTAAACAGTATGGAGTTCCTTAAGAACCTGAAAATAGAGTTACCATATGATCCAGCAGTCCCACTCCCAGGCGTACATCTATCTGGAGAAAACTCTAATTCAAAAAGATAAATGCATTCCAGTGTTGATAGCAGCACTGTTTACAATAGCGAAGACATGGAAGCAACCTAAGTGTCCATCAACAGATGAATGGATAAAGAAGGTGTGGTATATATACATAATGGAATATTACTCATCCATAAAAAAGGATGAAATAATGCCATTTGCCACATGGACCTAGAGATTATCATACTAAGTGAAGTAAGTCAGACAGGGAAAGACAAATATCATGTGATATCACTTAGATGTGGACTCTAAAAAATACAAATGAACTTATTTACAAAACAGAAACAGATTCACAGACATAGAAAACAAACTTATGGTTACCAAAGGGAAAAGGGGGCAGAGAGGGATAAA